AGTGGCGAAAACATACGGTTTGCGAGAAATCAATTGAAGGGATCGAAAGACATTTTTTCAGGCGAGAACTCATCTCTAATATCAATACAACAAACATTATTATTTGAGATATTAACTGTTTTTACATTATATATTAATTATAAATAATATTAATACTACATTTTACCATGAACATATCTTTTAATTATTATCTTATTATTTATAGCATTTATAGAGCTTATGAAACGGGCGTATAGTCTGGCTGTGACTGAAAGCGATAGGAAATCACTGGACGTAAAGGCAATGAACGACAAAATGACTAAATATTACGATCGGTTTGAGAGTGAATTGGGAGGCATTGGTCCGGAGCTGACGGCACAGCCTATGAACCGGTCGGCCGTTGATTATGTGCTAATGTATTACCGAGAGCTGAAACGGGGGTCACTTTTGCGGATATTAGTTATAAGACTGGTTGCAAATTATACGGTATATGAGATACACGAGTACCTGAAACGTCAGCCTCAATACAGACCCAATGTGTTGGCCAACTGTATGCTGGCGACAGAGTTGGATATTAAACGAGCGTTGACTGTAGGGAAGGCTATGATAGACTGTAACGGTGCCCACATATCACCGGCCGAAGAGCTAGNAGCGTTGACTGTAGGGAAGGCTATGATAGACTGTAACGGTGCCCACATATCACCGGCCGAAGAGCTAGAGCTGATCCAATTGGCTAAGGCTTCCTTGGCTTTGGAGTGCAATTTTCACCTTAATCCATAATTTATTATTAATTTAATTTTACTGACGTTAATAATGTTTTAATTTTTGCTTCTTTGTATCTCTTAAAGTTTCAATTGTATGAATAATAAATGTATGTTTTATTAATATATTTTATTTACAACAAATATTATACATTTTAATTTTTACCAATACGTGATACATTTGCGTCCCTATTTTGGCCGTTGTCTGGCCTGCCTTAGGTCACCGCAGTTACCGTTATTAATACAATAATAGTCATATTATAATATACTCAAACTCATTAGTCGCTCACAACAAAATTATAAAATTAATATTATTTTTCAAATTCAAAAATAACCATATCTATTTCTAAAAGCAATTAATAAACCTAATTACAAATATATTTATTTATTATTAAAAAAAATTAAACAAAAGTTTATACCAATTGCTACAATATAAGCATGAGTTCTAACACTTCGGGCAAACAATTANATTAAACAAAAGTTTATACCAATTGCTACAATATAAGCATGAGTTCTAACACTTCGGGCAAACAATTAAGTGATCGACTGTTGGATGCGTTGGAGGAGTCGATGGCGAAGATGTTTACCACGGATTACGTCCAGAAGACACTAATGACGGGCGAAATGAGTGATGAAAACATACGGTACGCAAAGATTCAATGGAAGGCATCAAAAGACAGCTATTCAGGTGAGGACTCATCCCTAATATCAATACAATAAACATTATTATTTGTAATATTAACTGTTTTATAATTTAAAATTAATTAAAAATAATATTTATTTTACAATAAAAAAATAGTATACTTGTTACCATGAACATTTATTAAAATAACTCATCAGTATTATTATAATTTTAAAAATAATATATCCTACGTTTGAGACTAAAACATTGAGCAAGAAAGGATTTTGCAATGTTATCAAGCAAAATTTGTAAATTTCAAAATCACATTAGTGATTGAAAAATGTTAAATATTTTTGTTTGGTATCGTATCGGTATCGCGAACATTATAAAACTCAGTATCGGTATCGGTATCGCGAGTATCGTTAGTATCGCGAGTATCGTTGGTATCGCGAGTATCGCGAGTGTCGTTGGTATCGCAAGTATCGCGAGTGTCGTGAGTATCGCGAGTGTCGTATTACTAAACTAAACAATACATAGTGCTTATTTGCACCTCTTTGATACATATAATACATATATCCCTCCGCGCATCCAATAGTCAATCCAAAATGTCTACTTCTATGTAAAGCTCCGTCTGGTAATATCAATAGTAGCGAGTGTTAGTTATGTTGAACATGCGCAGTCATTGGTATCGCGAGTGTGGTGAGTATCGCGAGTGTCGTGAGTATCGTGAGTATCGCGAGTGTCGCGACACTAGTATCGGTATCGTATCGGTATCGCGACACCGATACCGACACTCAGTGTCGCGAGTATTGTATCGCGATACCGATACTCAAATTTCAATCTCTAAATCACATATACAATAAAACACGTGAGAAAAATGACAAAATAAACTGACCCTCTATTTTGAAGGTTGGACCACCATGTTTAGCATTACATAGCGGCCAATGGAGGTCATATTAATTATTAATTATAAATTATTCTTATAATATTTATATTTATTGATTATACATTACATTTACTATTACTTTTTGCCATCAAAATATTGCCAAATTAAAAAGTTATTTTTTAAAATTAATAGTTTTGTCCAAAATGTATAATTTTAAAAGTGAAAGAGAGAGAGAGAGAGAGAGAGAAAGAGAGAAAGAAAGAAAGAGAGAGAGAGAGAGAGAGAGAGTTAGTGATATTAATATTATAATTAACAAAAAACTAAGTTATATTAATGGTATGTCATAGAAATTATATGTAAGTAATCTATTCAATTAAAAACTTAATAAATTTTATAAATAACTAATCCACAAGAAAGAAAAAGAGAGAGAGAGAAAGAGAGAAAGAAAGAGAGAAAGAAAGAGAGAGAGAGAGATCCAGATGTTATATATGATATTTAAATATGTTTTAATGTGATAGAGGGTTTGCCTTCTAATACAATAGTCCCTGAACTTTATATTGCTTGAATTGCTTTATATAATAATTACTAATAAATATAAATATATTATTCGTTATATAAGATGTAATATATTGTGGACCTGAGGAGGAAGAGGCGGCCGAAGACAGTTTGATCCCATTTTATGAGCGATTCGGTAATGGAGTTGAATGTCCCGAAAATGTGGACATTCTTAGGGAGAAGTGCAGCGAATTGGGCACAAGTGATATTCCGATCGGCAAATTGTGAGCACTAATCATATGAAAATAAATTATAAATTAAATGCAAATTATTTAATATTTTTCAAATGTAACAAAAGGTAAGTTATGTTTTGTTAAAATTTATATATTGTAGTCATAATCATAATAGTAGTCGTGAAGTGGTTTTTTTGTCAGTACAACATTTTATTTGCCAATTAATTAATTGTTATATTTTTCTAGCATAAGCACATAATGTTTTATATTAATTTTTAAAAGATTATTTTGTCACGTATATTTTTAGCCCTAGTAAATATCTAATAAACAAACATAGACAATTAATTGTATTCATTTTTTAAATAACATCTCGGTTACAAATTCTGGGAAATAGTAACCTCGATGAAGTGGATCGGGTACTTAAAGCCAAAGCTAAGGCAGATATTATTGGAAAGTCCCAGCATTAAGTTTTATGAAAAACTAAACATGTTTTGCAAACTGCCCTAGGACATACAATTTAAATACTGCCAGATTACAAACGCCAAACTAACCGAGACGAAACAACTGCGCGACCGTTTTATTGGTTATCTGGAAGAGGCTGTCACTCAGCCAAGAATGAACTTGGCCGAAATACTGTGGTATATTTTGTATACACACCTGTTTACGCATTATATTTATACATCATGTTTATTTTATGGGACCCCACAACAAAGATTACATAATACTGTTGTGCGCCTATTATAATGCATTTATTATGTAATCTTTGTTGTGGCGCTAGGATTAATAGCATATGATTTTTTATCTAGAAGACTATTTATAGAGGTAGAAAACAATGCTAAAACTCATTTATAACATTAAACACTTCATTAAATTTGTATTTCAACTTATTAAGAACATTCATTTTTGTGGTTTTTATATTAAATGCTAGCAAAAACTATGAGCGAGTTTTAACATTGAGTTGTATTGGCTAAGAATAGTTTTCTAGAATAAAAATCATATGATGTATACTGTAACCATGTTATATGTCAACCATTCAACAATTTATCAATTCATACATATTAAAACCCATTACTCATTATACATTTGCACTTTTAACTAATATATAACAGCATTTCCCGTGACTTCTGGGAAAACGTGATCAATTTGCACGATGACCAGCATGGTTTCAGGGAGTTCTCCCGCAGACAGATTGAAATCTATCCGTCAGTCCTGACCAGAGCTGAGACCATATTTGGAGTGAAAGCGGACGTCAAGTGCGAACTCGGCCCGACATACCCGGAGCCTAAACACAAATCAATCACGGTGGCTATTGTTAAAATATTCACCAAGTACCTGGATACTGCAATATAATCAATGTGTACAGAGAATATTAAGGTTTATTTTGTGTGCAGTAAACGTGTATACAGTTCATAAAACATTTTAGTTTGTAATTTTGTATTTTTAATTGATGTTGTTTACATTTTAATTGATTAATTTACAAAACGTTATTGAATATATAAAGAAGAAAAATTTACAACACAAAAAATATAATTCCAAAGTAAACAGGTTAATACAAACAAATTGTTATCTACGGTAATTATAAAGTTATAGTTGAGATTATAAATGCTGAAAACATTAATTTCAATATAAAGCTTTACATTCAATTTAAGGGACAATTATGGGGCCATCTTTAGCTAACAATTTGCTTAAAAAATTATTTTATAATTAAAATATAAATAAATTATACTTTTTACTTTATATTAAACATCTGTATTTCTAAAACAAAAATTTATTAAAATTTTAGTTTCATTTAAAATAAAAGTTTTATCAAAAAAATTGTACACAACCTGTATATCAATCGCCGAAACATAAGACATGAGTTCTCACTCTTCGGGATTAAGTGATCGACTGTTGGATGCGTTGGAGGACTCGTTGGCGAAGATGTTTACCACGGATTACGTCCAGAAGATACTAATGACGGGCGAAATGAGTGGCGAAAACATACGGTTTGCGAGAAATCAATTGAAGGGATCGAAAGACATTTTTTCAGGCGAGAACTCATCTCTAATATCAATACAACAAACATTATTATTTGAGATATTAACTGTTTTTACATCATATATTAATTATAAATAATATTTATACTACATTTCACCATGAACATATCTTTTAATTATTATCTTATTATTTATAGCATTTATAGAGCTTATGAAACGGGCGTATAGTCTGGCTGTGACTGAAACCGATAGGAAATCACTGGACGTAAAGGCAATGAACGACAAAATGACTAAATATTACGATCAGTTTGAGAGTGAATTGGGAGGCATTGGTCCGGAGCTGACGGCACGGCCTATGAACGGGTCGGCCGTTGATTATGTGCTAATGTATTACCGAGAGCTGAAACGGGGGTCACTTTTGCGGATATTAGTTATAAGACTGGTTGCAAATTATACGGTCTATGAGATACACGAGTATCTGAAACGTCAGCCCCAATACAGACCCAATGTGTTGGCCAACTGTATGCTGGCGACAGAGTTGGATATTAAACGAGCGTTGACTGTAGGGAAGGCTATGATAGACTGTAACGGTGCCCACATATCACCGGCCGAAGAGCTAGTCAATACAGACCCAATGTGTTGGCCAACTGTATGCTGGCGACAGAGTTGGATATTAAACGAGCGTTGACTGTAGGGAAGGCTATGATAGACTGTAACGGTGCCCACATATCACCGGCCGAAGAGCTAGAGCTGATCCAATTGGCTAAGGCTTCCTTGGCTTTGGAGTGCAATTTTCACCTTAATCCATAATTTATTATTAATTTAATTTTACTGACGTTAATGATGTTTTAATTCTTGCTTCTTTGTATCTCTTAAAGTTTCAATTGTATGAATAATAAATGTATGTTTTATTAATATATTTTATTTACAACAAATAATATACATTTTAATTTTTACCAATACGTGATACATTTGCGTCCCTATTTTGGCCGTTGTTTGGCCAGCCTTAGGTCACCGCAGTTACCGCTATTAATACAATAATAGTCATATTATAATATACTCAAACTCATTGGTCGCTCACAACAAAATTATAAAATTAATATTATTTTTCAAATTCAAAAATAACCATATGTATTTCTAAAAGCAATTAATAAACCTAATTACAAATATATTTATTTATTATTAAAAAAAATTAAACAAAAGTTTATACCAATTGCTACAATATAAGCATGAGTTCTAACACTTCGGGCAAACAATTATTATTTCTAAAAGCAATTAATAAACCTAATTACAAATATATTTATTTATTATTAAAAAAAATTAAACAAAAGTTTATACCAATTGCTACAATATAAGCATGAGTTCTAACACTTCGGGCAAACAATTAAGTGATCGACTGTTGGATGCGTTGGAGGAGTCGATGGCGAAGATGTTTACCACGGATTACGTCCAGAAGACACTAATGACGGGCAAAATGAGTGATGAAAACATACGGTTCGCAAAGAAAAACTGGAAGCGATCTAAAGAGTTGGCTGCAGGTAAGCAACGGATACATGGAGTAAATGTATATCGTTTTGTGGTATAACCGCATTCATTATAAAAAATGTGTGTAAATAAAGTTATCATAAAATTTATTTACAATGTACAATATGCAAAATAATTAATAAATAAAAACAATAACACCATATTAATTATATAATATTACAGTATATGCAATGATTAGTTTGTATGAAACTACTGGAACGGGCCTACAGTGTGGCCACCAATGAAAGCGATCGCAAAAGTTTGGATTATTTGTTGCGCGCATTGCCCGAAGAGTTGGCCAACTTTTACGACCGCTTTGAGCGCCAGTTGGGAGGCATTGACGCCGACCTGAAGGCACAGCCAATGGACGAAACAATTGCTGAGTACACACGCATGTTATATCGGGAAATGGAGCATGGTTCATTGGTGCGCATGATGATCACCCAGATGTTGGGCAATTGGCACGCATATGAGTTGCACGAGTACTTGAAACGACAGCCCCGATACCGACCCAACCCTATCGCCACCACTCTATTGTATATGGAGTTTGATGTCAAGTCTGTTCTGGATTTATGTAAAAATATGATCGATTCAAATAGCGGTCAAATATCGCCCGCAGAAGAGCTCGAGCTAATTCAACTTACCATAGAGACAATGGAGTTAGATTGTAAATTTCATTTAAATATATAATGCTAGTATTTTATAGTTACATTTCTGCTACATTCGTATTTGTAGAACATATTTACTTTGAACATTGTCAATTATTTATGAATTAATAAATGTAATGAACAAAATACAAAATATTATGTATAATTGTTGTAATTGTTAATTTTAATTGTCATATATTGTATCAAACGCTTGTATGCAGTTTGCAAAAATGTTAGGTCATGATAATTGAGATTATTAATGTTTAAAACTTTAGGCCCTAAATTATAATGAACTAACAGGGAAAGAAAGGGATTCCCTGTAACATGCAGAGGAAACTCCTGTATTAAACATTCACCGTTATTTCCTGATATTCCCTCTTATTCCCTGTTATTCTTTGTAATATTCAGTGTAGTTTTAATGCAGAATTGTGTACATTTATTAAATGAATTAAAAACAGAAAAAATTGTCTATAAAACAACATATAAATATTGATACTATAGTGTAAACGCAGTTTTGGTCAATATATACAGGTTACCTTGTTACCTATGTAGGTTACCCAAGGCTTTAATTGTTTTTATAAGTAAAAATTGTTTACAGGAGAAAACTGGGATTCTCTGTTGGCATGAACCTCAGGGAACAGGAAAAGTATGGAAAATGGAATTTGGGAAAAGTTGCATTTTACTTTTCATTTAGGGCTAATTCAATTCTACAGTATCTAACTTATGGGGCAATTATTGGGGCTATCTTTTGGCAAACAATTTGCGTTAATAATTAATATTATAATTAAAATGTATGTATACTTTACGCTAAATTTAACATCTGTATTTATAAAACAATATTTATTAAAATTTTAGTTTTATTTATAATAAAAGATAAATTTTACACAAAGTGTATATCAATTGCCGAAACATAAGACATGAGTTTTCACACTTCAGGCAAACAATTAAGTGATCGACTGTTGAATCCGTTGAAGGAGTCGATGGCGAAGATGTTTACCACGGATTACGTCCAGAAGATACTAATGACGGGCGAAATGAGTGATGAAAACATACGGTACGCAAAGATTCAATGGAAGGCATCAAAAGACAGCTATTCAGGTGAGTACTCATCCCTAATATCAATACAATAAACATTATTATTTGTAATATTAACTGTTTTATAATTTAAAATTAATTAAAAATAATATTTATTTTACAATAAAAAAATAGTATACTTGTTACCATGAACATTTCTCTTTATCATTATCTTATTCATATTTTTTATAGCATTTATAGAGCTTATGAAACGGGCGTATAGTCTGGCTGTGACTGAAACCGATAGGAAATCACTGGACGTAAAGGCAATGAACGACAAAATGACTAAATATTACGATCGGTTTGAAAATGAATTGGGAGGCATTGCTCCGGAGCTGACGGCACGGCCTATGAACGGGTCGGCCGTTGACAATGTGCTCACGTATTACCGAGAGCTGAAACGGGGGTCACTTTTGCGGATATTAGTTATAAAACTGGTTGCAAATTATGTGGTCTATGAGATACACGAGTATCTGAAACGTCAGCCCCAATACAGACCCAATGTCTTGGCCAACAATATGCTATTTACAGATTTTGATATTAAGCGAGCGTTGACTGTAGCGAAGGCTATGATAGACTGTAACGGTGCCCACATTTCCCTGGCCGAAGGGCTAGAGCTGATTCAATTGGCCCATGATGTTTTGGTTTTAGAGTGCAATTTTCACACTAATAAATGATTTATTATTATTTGTAAACTACAATAAGATTTATTTATTTTAATTTATGACAAACTGACAATTATTTATTAAACTACATTTATTATATAATTATTACCAGGGTAATAAATCTGTGTTTTTTTTGCAAATTTTTGTATTATAAAAATTAATTTACAAAAAATTATTTTTTAAAAGTTTTTAGGAATCATAAATGATAAATTACGCAAATTTGAATAAATTAACTAAAAATAAATCAACATTTATTTAATTATTAAATTATGTAAATCATAATAAGTTCAAAACACAAAATCAACAAATTAACAAGTCTCATTTAGATAAAACTTGAACTCTAAATCAAACACTTCTCGGGCAAATTGGATCAGCTCTAGTTCTTCATCCGTTGAAATGTGACCACCTTTGGGATCAATGAGACTCTTGTAGACATTTACCATAGCTTTGGGATCAAACGCCAGATACAGGTAACAGTCAGTCAACCCATTGGGCCGATACCGGGGCTCTCCTAAAAGGTACTCATGTATACCATTGACTATCCAAACGCCCACCAATTGGGTAACCATTAGCCGCAAAAGTGAACCGCGTTTTATTTCCCGATAAAACATTATCCTATAATCGGTGATAAACGCGTCCATTGGCTGTGTCTTCACGTCGGCGCCAATGCCTCCCAATTGGCGCTCAAAAGTGGTCTGAAATTGAGTGAACCCTTTGTCCACAGTATTCACAATCGGCGCCAGTATTTGCCGATCGTTATCATNTGATAAACGCGTCCATTGGCTGTGTCTTCACGTCGGCGCCAATGCCTCCCAATTGGCGCTCAAAAGTGGTCTGAAATTGAGTGAACCCTTTGTCCACAGTATTCACAATCGGCGCCAGTATTTGCCGATCGTTATCATTGGCGGCCACACTATAGGCTCTTCTCATTAGTTCAATGATTGCTACAAATATACAGTATATAAAAATTGAATATAAATAATAATTATTTAACTAATTATCTAACTAATAACTAATTATTAGTAAGTAGTAAATAATAAGATAGTTGGTTATTAAACAATATTTCTATGATTCTACAGTATATCTAGATGACTTAAATCATCTTGATATCAATTTAATGTTTTAAATAATACAATTAATTTACTATGTGATAATCTGTTATATCTGTGGATATATACAAACCCGGAGCCATTTGTCTGGATCTCTTCCAGTGGTTTTGTGCGTATCGTATGTTTTCGTTACTCATTTCGCCCGTCATTAGTATCTTCTGGACGTAATCCGTGGTAAACATCTTTGCCATCGAGTCTTTCAACGGATCCAACAGTCGATCACTTAATTGTTTGTCCGAAGTGTGAGAACTCATACTTAAATTTTTGGCAATTAATGTACGCTTTTAACGAAACTCTTATTATTATAATTTATAAATATAAATAAAGTTAATTTGGGTGTTAAACAGATTGAATTATTTTACATTTTTAATTAAATGTTTAATTTAATGATTAAACTTGATACTAATGGCACAATCTATGTTATAATTATAAAATCAATCAAATTAATTTTTAAACTTTTGTTTTAAATTAACAGATAGTTAAAATTATTATTACATTAAATATTAGAAATACAATAAAATGATTAAGGTAAATATATATATTTCTTATCTTGAGTTGATTGCTGAATAATTCACAATATTTTAGTAAATGTGCATAAATATTTATTTTAAAAGTTACAAAACATGTTAAGAATATATGAGTAAATATGATTAAATTAAAATCCGAATCAAAATAATTTTTATTCATATAAAAAATAATGTTTAAAATATTATTTTATTTAATTGTTATAATTTTTAATAAATAAATATAAAATATAATATATGTTGGTTAAAAGAATCATTTAATTATAAGCCGGTAGTCCAACGCTTTCGGGTCTAAACTCATCAAAGCATTTGGCAATTGCTGTCACTTTACCCACAATTGCATCAAAAGTACTATCAATGGTATCATTGATGAGGACAGTAGTCATACCCGAAGCCACAGCACCGGTAATACCAGTCAACGAGTCCTCAAATACCACACAATTGTGCGGCGATTCCGGCGGCGATGCAA